ACAGAAGCATGGTCTTTTCAAGCCAAAAGGGGGATCTTCTGTGTCTGCTAAAAGTCTGACTATGTCTGATGATGCTGTTGCTACTAAGAATGTGCTGAAAGAATTAGGTGAAAAATCTGTAAATTCTAATAAAAAGGAGAAGAGTGTGTTCGCAAGACTACTAAGAGAAAGGCTGATACTGATGAGGAACCTGGTTCCTCAAAGAAGTCTAGAGTTGGTGATCCGAGGAGTGCTGGAAAAGAGAGATTGAGAAGTCAAAAGGTGCTTTGGGGATGCACTTTTGCCCCTGATGTCTTGGAGGAGGCTGGTATGAGATAGTTGGTTGAGATTTGTGAGTTCCAACAATGGACACACTTGTTCACAAGTGATGCTGTTCGGGTATTTGAGGAGGAAGTTCAAAGTTTTTATTCCGACTTGTTCAAGGTTGAGGATGATCACATTTGTGTCTTGGTAAATGGAGTTGATATGATAATGGACTTTGCCTTGTTGGGGTATATTCTTGGTGTGCCTGCTGAAGGCCTGTCTAGTGTTCATGGAGCTTGTACTCAAAACTTCAGAAACGCAATCCTGAAGGACATAGCAGTTCAGCAGGGGGAACGGGTTCAGAAGAAGGCCCTCCTTCCTGTAAACCAATTGCTGTTTGAGATGGTAAACAAAGTCTTGCTGCCTCGAGCTGAGAGAAGATCTATCACTTCTCGTGCAAACCTATTACTCATGGAAGCACTGGATAACTTCACTACCATCAATCTGCCTGGGATCATGATAGAGCACATGAATAAAGTGGCAGGCTTTAAAGATGGTAATAATGGGCTGCCGTATGGGCTCCTTCTTACCAAGGTCTTTGAGCACTTCAAGCTCTCGGACCAGTTAAAGTGGGTACCAAGAAGCAAACTTTTTCAAAAGTCACTCTTGAAGAATGTGAGTGTATAGAGAAATTTGGAGGGGTTGCAAGCACTTTTACCATATCTCATTTAATAAATGCTCAAAATAGTGCTACTACTGAGATAAGGGAATTGAAAGCAAGGAATGCTATCCTTGAGACTCAGTTAAGTCAGCTGCAAGAAGCACCTGGTTCCAGTAGCTCTCACAGCGAAGAGGCTGCTCGCCTGACAAAGGAGGAGAACACTGAGCTCAGGAAACCATTTCCTCAGGAAACAAGTGGAGGACCTGAAAGAGAGACTGCTCAATGAGCAAATGTCAGCAAATGCTCGAATGGATTTAGTGCTCCAAACCATTTCCTCTGCCTCCAAACCTTCTCCTTCCAGTGTTCCTTAAATACTGTCCCCTCAATGTCAAGCCTGGTTCTTGTGGTCCAGTCCCTCAGTGTCAGTTCTTGTGATGATAACTTGTGGTATTTTTGTTGATTGTTCTAATTTGTGGAAGTCGTAGTAACATTGACTCTGGTCCTGCTGTAAAATCCAAATTATGTTAATGCAAGCTTTTCCCTTTTTGCTGATTATACCTTGCTTTTATGCTATATTTTTAATCATGATTGTGTGCAAATACGTGGCATGAGTTAACTTAAAGCTAGACTTCCTTCTTGCTTAATTGCATGTTACTGATATTTTTATGATGCCAAAAGAGGAAGAATAATTGCATTGTGATTTGCACTGACTAAGGGGGAATGTAGAATTTCAGGAGGAAACATAAGTCTTTCTGATTCCCAGTCTGGTTCTATGTGGCTCTTTATGGGATTTTCAATTATGAGTTTGTCATCATCAAAAAGGGGGAAATTGATAGGTTACAAGTACTTTGTTTTATAGGTCATAAGTACTTTACTTTATGTTTTGATGATCTGACAAACTTACTATCAAGAACCAGATAAGGAACCTGTCACACATACTCAAGACCTCGTATTTATCAATTTTTACACTAATAGTTGATGGCATAAGTACTAATAAACGCCTCTAACTGTTAACAACAAATTATTAAGTAAACGTGAAAAAATTACTTAGTGTTTTTTTGTCTTCATCACGATTGTAAATATAATATATTTTGTTATTCAATTAATGATTATTGATTTGTAATATGAGAAATTAATTATTATTGTTATTAATGATAGGTAAATCTTTTAATCAACCATAATCATGTATTTAATCCAAATATAACTTTAGAATTTTTATCTCAACGTCATAGGATGATTGCTTGCCAAAATTACCTTAAACTCGTAGCTCAAAGTCTCAATATTAAGTTAAAATATGAAAATTTCAAAATATGATTCTTTTATATAATTGGTTTATTGCAATTACGAGTCCCTTGCCGCTATCTTGGGCGCAAATCAAATGCAGCTTTGTCGCAGTTGGGAATACCCTTCTGCCATTGCGGTAAAGAAGAGTTTTTTCTATCATATTTTACTGCTTCTTTTTCCACAGAATCTAAAAGAGGAGTAGAAATAATAGAATTTCATTAATGGGAAATAAGGAAATTCTACAAACCTTAGTGAATACTTATATCAAAATTTGTCACCTAATTGTTAGATCATGCGGTCTCACTAGTCTTCTCTTTGAGCGAGAGAATAAAAAACTTTTCATGAAGTTCTCTTTAAGGACACGAGGACTCATACAATTGACTTCAACTTTCTTGTCGTCGTCATCCTTGATTATCCGTTCCCCTCCTCTTCCCACGAAATATGCATGCAATACATTTGTACTTTTTCTAGATAATTTATAAGTGATTCAGATTTTAAAGCAATAGGTGCACCTCTTAATATGTACACATACTTTTTAGAATTTATTTGAATTTTTTTATAAAATATATATAGTAAGATTCCATCTTGTGCACATGCAACTGTTATTCACCATAATGAGAATTTATAAGGACTTTTTAAAACAACGATTTTGCTAAATTACTAGATGAGATTTTTTAACTGTGCACAACATAATGTTAACATTCTCCAATTGAAATGTTCATAATTGGATGAAATGTCACATTCAGTAACTTATTTTCATGCTTATGTCACCTGAGATATTTGAGAAGCCATGCATCAGCATAACAACCAAATGTTTCCTCTTCATATTTTTCATATCTCAAACATAACAAGATTAAAATTCCTCGGGTTTCAAGAAGGAACAACTGAGGGTTCACTTGGGCAGAAAGAAAAATTTCGAAGATCAACACAACAAAGGTCAATTTGGCATATCCTGTTGCGGAAAATTGTGATAAAAAGAAAATCAATGCAAAGATTGAAAAAGGCATTCTTCATGTTAAACAGCCAAAACTAATAATTTCGGGGATGAAAAAGGATAAGGAATTGCCAGCCACTGAAGCTGCTAAGAATACCCCTGCTAAAAACAGAAGACCTCTTTAAGAGATGGATTTACTAAGTAGGATAATGCTGCTACTAATATCCCTCCTAAGGAGCCTTCAAAGGAACAACAACGAACACTAGTCCTAAAATCAGTGAGCAAACATAAGCTAAAAGTCTTACAAAAAAAATTGTAGGGAAATGACACCGAAAAATAATGATAATAATACTGCAATAATATTATTTATGATCAGATACACGAATTGGCTTGAGTCGTGCTGGACAATGTCCTAAGAAACTATTTCAGCAATGTGAAATATTTCCCTAGGATTAAACAAGCTCATCGTTATTTATTTAGAGGATACAGGAATCATCAAAATTAAATAATAAATCCAGCAAGTTGGAAGAGAACGATCAACTAATATCTTATGCCAATTGAAATATTATAGAAGAAGAAATTAGAAGGAGAACGGTGTATAGGAGGGAAAGAAGATAGAAGAACTTCTTCTTTTGCTAATGATTCGCTTTTCATGGTGTTTTGATGATTGAAGAATGATGGCCTAATCATGGCTATATATGCGCCTAAGGAAAGCTTGTGCACAACACAAGTATTTTACTTGTCAAAATTCCTTCATGCAAGATGATAACCAGTGACGAAGGCAGGATCTTCGCGACGGGAGTTCAAAAAGAAAAAAATTAAAAAAGATTGTAGCTAGTGGGAATTAAACCTATGAACTTACAAAAGTTTTGAACCCCCTTGACCACTAAGCTACACTTTTAGGCTGTGTTAAGGGAGTTCAAAATTTAATATATAGAGGTAAAAAATAAATTTTGCCTTATATATACAGTGTAATTTTTCGACGAAGGGAGTTCGAGTGTTCCGTCTCTGATGACAACACATCCCATACAAAATGACACTTGGCTTAACATTAAGAGATCAAACCACATACCATTTGTGTAACCATTTGTCCACAAAAATACTGAAATACTACCACAAAAATGACGAGCAGATAAAAGTAGTTCTTACATTAAATCTAAAAGTGATGAATCATTTGATTCCTTTAACTGCTTGGTTATGCTGCTGGTGCACAAATGCAACCCGATCCCTATGGTTTTTGCTCTTAATCTGGTGTTGGGGGTATTGTCTGCTCTTTCTATATCGAACTATAATTATATAATAGTAGTTTGAACAAAAAAAATATGTATTATGATATCCTAGCTAGTAACTAATAACATTTGCTTTTGTAAATACAAGATTTTATTTACCATGTGATCAGGAGGTCACGGGTTCGAGCCTTGGAAACAGCCTCTTGCAGAAATGCAGGGTAAGGGTGCGTAAAATAGACCCTTGTTATCCGGCCCTTCCCCGGACCCGCGCATAGCGAGAGCTTAGTGCGCCTTTTTTTTTTAATGTAACACATTTAATACTTCCTAAATACATTAATATCTATCACCGATTAAATCTTACTTATAAAAATGCTTATTTAATTTTTTGATAAGCATTTTATGACAAACAAATATGTTTTTGATTTATTATGTGTTGTAATTACCATTCTAGTAATTGTGCAGCAGGTGCCAAACACACCCCAATTCAATTTTATTAATTTTTGGGACACTAAGAATAATCTCTTCTTTATATCTTTGAACACTATAAATTTTTTTTTTTGAACACATGTTATTCTATCACTAAATAGTTTTTTTTTTCCTGAATAAAATCAGTAATTGGAATTTTCAATTCAAACGAAGCAGGGAAAGAAAATAATCTTTCATTTCTTTCTCTTTCGTTTCTTCTCCTTTTTATTTTCCCTTCCTTTTTCTTCAAATCAAAGCACTGCTACTTTTTTTTTCTTCTTCAAAATCAAAACATTGATACAATATTGTCAAAAATCTCATAAAATTATCACAAATCTCACAAAGGCAAAGGGAACTTTGTCACAAATCTGAAGAATTAGCAAACGAAACAACATTTTTTATAAATCTGTTAAGGCAAAGGAAATTTTTGTCACAAATCTGAGGAAGCCAATGGAGACTTTGTTATGAATCTGATGGGAAAGCAAATGAAATTTTTTCGCAAAATCTGATGAAAGGCAAAGACTTCGTCACAAATCTGACGAAGGAAAATTAAAGGAAAAAATAATCCATTTACGCCCATGGACGAGCTAGAATTTCGACGGCTTCTTGAACGATTCCCGATCGTTAGGTTTCGTGATTATCATGTAAAGTTCTCCTTCTCATCCATTTCGTGATTATCATGCAGAAAATAATTGTTTATTTGATTGTGGTTGGCATTTTCTGATTAAAAAAGGGAGAAGCCCATGTGTCTCCCCTTAATGCCCCATTTCTTATGCCAGTTTTGTTTTTGTGCTTTTGGGCGGTTTAAGGTTTTGCCCATATATGGAATTGTTACCCAAATAGCCGGCCAGATTCAGTGTTTTCTTTTTCTAGCCAATATACATAGATTATATATTGATTATACACAATTATACATATATTATACATAAATTGTACACATATTATATCTGCTGACTATTTTTAGTTCAAGAGATTAGGTGGGCGGCTATTTGGATGAATTCTTGTTTTATATTTTTAGTTTTATGATATTGGAGGTGTCTGGCTTAGACTAGTGGTACCTCCCACCAGCACAAGAATCGGGTAACTTTGACACCACGGCTTAGATAGAATAAATCACCCATACAATTTTTTGTCTATACTATGATTTGAACCGTGTGATTCTATTGAGTACCCTTTGTCCGGACGGTACAACAAACTTTTATAGTTATATATGAACTGTTGAATTCTCTTGATATAAGAAATGATTCTAGTTTAGTGATAGAGGGAGTCAAAAAATTGCTTTAAGTCATTGGTTCAAGTACCAAGTGTGAGATTTTAACATTTTTCTGAATCCTCTGCATAAATTTCTGTTTCTGCCACTCCATCCACTCCATCGACCACTAGGCCTCACCCTTAGGTATAAGACATTGCTGAGTAGACATGTCAATGTGGAAAGTTGTTCTTTTCTCGGATTCAGAGCTTGTTGAAGCAATCTCATTTTCTGGATTATCATCTCTATGTTACATGAATTAGTGTGTTATATTAGTTTATAATAAAAGGGCTTACTTTGTGCCCAAACTGCTCCTCACCTAGTCTAGGACCCGAGTAGAGTGGCTGAATACCTGCACAACCCATTCCCTTACTTTACTGCAAAGAGGTTGTTTGCACGCCTGTGTTATATTAGTTTATAATAAAAGGGCTTACTTTGTGCCCAAACTGCTCCTCACCTAGTCTAGGACCCGAGTAGAGTGGCTGAATACCTGCACAACCCATTCCCTTACTTTACTGCAAAGAGGTTGTTTGCACGCCTCAGATTCAATCTTATGTAGCTCATGATAGGAGAAATTCTACCGTTGTCCCCTCGCTCGCCATTACAATGTATTTTATTATTTACTTTACAATGATGGAGTAAATAAAGGTAGCGGAAATAAGGATGTTGAGATGGATATGTAGGAATACTAGGAGAGATAGGGTCAAGAGTGAAGATATTCGGGATAAGGTGGGGGTGGCCCCTGTGGAGGATAACGTACGAGAAGCAAGGCTGAAATGGTTTGGGCATGTAAAGAGGAGATGCACAGACGCGCCAGTGAGGAGGTGTGAGAGACTGAATATGGTAGGTCTCAGGAGAGGTAGAGGAAGGCCGAAGAAGTATTGGTGATTATGCAGGACATTAACTTATCTTAAGCTTACCGAGACATGACCCGTAATAGAAGGTTGTTTAGATCGAGAATTTAGGGTTGTAAGTTAGTACCTTTGTGTTCCTTACCAGTAGTTATAGTGTTAGTCTAGTTTTGTCTTGTTCTTAGACTACTATTACTACGTGTTGCTGCTTCTGTTGTTACTATCTAACCGTTGTTATTACAATTTCTTTTTCCATGACTTCACTGCTGTATTTCCTTTTCTTACTGCTGTATTGATGCTTGACTTGAGCCGAGGGTCTATTGGAAACAACCTCTAAGGTAGAGAGGCTATTTCCAATAGACCTTCCCCAGACCCTACTTGTAGGAATACATTGGGTATGTTGTTGTACTTTATATGATAAAGTAAAATCATTTATGTAAATAATTCTGAGATTGGCAGAATTTGACTTTACATGTGCTCCTCGTGACTTTAATTAGGATGCTCTAATATGTTTAGTTGATCCTTGTTGTTCTAAAAATTTTGATATAACTGAACAACCAGTGAAGTCATATACATTCTGAATCCCATGCTAGAGTTATGGTAAGAAGCCTCTTGAAGCAAGTCTCCTTTGGGGATTCATGCTTAAGGATATTTCGGTAGATTTCATAGGCTAGTGTTCCTCTACGTCTATTGCCTTTTGTACTGGTATGTGCTTAAGTTCATTGATGGTCGTTAATATGTAGGTCTCTTCAATAGGCCAATAACTCCATAAGTATCAGTTTATAGTCTGAATTTATAAGTCTTCTTCTGTTCTTTTTCGAGGAGAACAATATTGTTCTGTTTTTTTAGTGTATGATGGACAAAAATGAATGAGCTGATTTCATGTCCTGACTTCTTGGTCATATTGTTTTCATATGTTTCTGTGCATCACATGCCTTTTAGCTTAGATGGAAAGGAAGATATGAATGGGAGTTACAAGTTGAGGTAACTTACATTTACCTTGTTTGATAAGGATGTAAGTAAAGAAGAACTGAAACAACAGGAATTCTAAACCCACAGCATTGGGCTTGCTTAATTTCGGACTGTTGTAGAGTGGAGAAGGGTACAGTGGCAGACCCATTATTACCAAGTTTCGACAGTGCACCACTGGCCGTGGATTTCTTGGTTATGAAAAAAAGAGTTTGGGGGGGTGGGGGTGGTGGAGAGCTGTGATGGAGGAGGTATTGCTGAAAACTGAAAACAGAATTCATCTGTGTCATGCTCCATGCCAATCATTTTGCTCTTCCAACCCCTGTATCTCTAAAGACTGGTTGTATGTTAGACTCTTATTTTCCATCTCTGCCTTTTGCTTTTCAGTATCCTCTTTAACTCCGGACTCTCATCTGAATTGTTCTTGTCTTACAGATTGATTCAGACACATCAAGACGAACAACAACTCAGTCTTTAGAGAAAGAGGAGGTATACTAGAAGCTTTTCCACATAGCATTGTGTTAACCTTTGCATTCATTTCTTATTTTTTCTTCCTAACAGTAAAAGTTTCATCAGGTAACGCAATGGAAAGATGCATGGAGTAAGGGACATAAACAAGAGGCTGGGATTCATCGTGGTGGTATGGACATTATCAATTATTTTTGTTTGGAAAATGACTAGAGATCCATATTCTTGACCATTTATAGAACTTATTTGTTACACAACTTGCAATTAAGCTGCTTAATGTTATACTAATAAAGTGAAAAGATACCAAACAAGTGAAAAAGTACGGTGGTTCCAATATATGAGAATGAAGGAGATATTCATAGTTTTGAGAATCATCGGAATTAAACGTATGAGTCAAAGATGAAACTTTCGAATTAAGTGATGGAGTATAGCTTTAATGACATGATAAAGGTGGTGGAGAATCAGTTTGGACTTATCCCTGGTAGATCTACAACAAAGATTATAATACTCTTAAGAAGATTGGCGAAAAATTATGGGGAAAGAGGAAGGATCTCCATATGAAGTGCATCGACATAGATAAATTACATAATATAGTGCCAATGAAAATCTTTCGCGGGGTGCTTGTAAAGAGAAGAATTAATATAAATATAGAATGGCCATAAAGGATATGCAAGAAAATTGGTATCAAGTGTGAAAGAAGGAGACAAAAATGATTTTCCCTCAACAATTTTTTTCCAACAAATATAGTTTTACAGCATCAATCTACCTTACGCTCGGGTTTGTTCATTGTGGTTATGGATGAGCCACTCAACAATATATAGTATGAGCTAAATAATCAAATAATATATGGGATGAGGTTACATTGCACATACTTTTTGTAGATGATAATGTGTTAATTGATAAAACTAGGGGGTACCACAAATAACAGACGTGCTAGTTCTTTTTTCTATCTATGAAGTAGGAAGAAGAGAGTCAATAAGAAGTTAAGACCATTGAGTAGTACTTTAGCAAATAAGGATCTTATCTTATAATAGTTAAAAGTAAGACACATATTTACATGACAAATTAGCCCAAATAAAGAAAAAGGTGTGACAAGATGAGATTATGGACCTAGATGTTGGCAAATCTGATATTCAGGTTGAAGTTTTTCAATAAAATGTCATGATAAATGAAGAATAGTACAAAGAAGTACAATAGAATGACTGAATTTGAGAAATGTTATATGAGTGCTCTATTTTCAGAAGATACCTAACAAGTTAAAGAGAATTTATGTAGGACTAGTTGTGAGATTGGTCATGTTATAGTGTTATATGGGAGTGAACGCATACCAAAAAATGGTTGTTGTAGTAATGCGTACGTTAGCACGAATAAATGGACATACAAGATCAGAAAACTTATAAATGACCATATCAGATAGAGGGTGCAACCGTGCAAATAGCACATATAGTTCAAAATAAGAGAAGGATCACGGTTTGAGCTTGTCATATGTAGACATTTGAATATACCAATCTATATGTGCAACACTATGATGATTGATGGAGTAAAAGGGGATGAGGTAGATCAAATGTCACATAGAGGAAGTTATCTCAAATAACTGCAACTGTTCAAAATCATTGTAGATTTAGCCGAAAAAGATAACACAATGAAAGGAAAGGACCCATGTAGGCAATACCAACTAATTGACACAAAGCTATAGTTGTTTTAGTTCGTTACACTTACACTAAGAGCCCGTTTGGACATAAAAAAAATTTCACTTTTTTTCGAAAAAATTTCATTTTTTTTTCGACATCAATGTTTGGCCACAGAATTTTCAATTTTCAATTGAAGATGAACTTTGGAATTTTCGAAAATTTGAAAAACTCCAAAAAAAATATTTTTCAAAATTTTCACTCAGATCACTCACAAAACTTTAAAAACAACCCAAAGTTATATTCATGTCCAAACACAACTCTAATTTTCAAATACCATTTTCACTTGAAAAAAAATTTCACTTTTTTTGGAATTTTGTAATTGTTATGTCCAAACGCCCACTAAGTATGGTGTTTGTCAAGACCCTTTTAGTTTGGTAACGGACTAGTATGCTTATGCAAAATAAGTGTGAGATTTATGGAATGCATAATTTGAATGACAGATTATTTAATAACGGAATAAATTGACCTGATTGGAGCAGAGTAGATATATAATATTTATATATTCAACTCCAAATAGTATTAATTGAATTTTCCTTTACTAAATATCTTTTTATGGAGAAAAATCTTCTGACATTTACCTGAAGTAACATGCCTACATCTTTTATTCCCAGAAATGTTTCTTTGAAACCCTGTTTATTTTAATCCTTTTTACAATTGAGTTCTAAATTGATGGTACTCAAGGTTTTTAGCTATATTCATGTTGCTCAGTGTGAATTCTTAATCTATTTTGAGCTTGCTGTGATGGTGAATTCTTAATCCTTTGCTAAAAGTTTAGTAATTGTATTAACTTTTACAGGTGCATTTTGGGGCAAAGTAAGAGAAGCTGCTGAGAAAAAGGTGAGTCAAGTTATCATCTTTTGCTGTATAATATTGTCAGGGGTGATCATGAACAGTCTTCGTAATGCCTTATTATTTGATGGTGATGTAGCACCAGAAGAGAGGAGAGAAATCGAAAAGAATTGAATGAAAGATCAATTGTTAAATTATTATTATTTAAGTGTTTTCCAGATCTTCTCAACGAAATACAACAAGGTTTTATATGTAAAATAGGATTCCTGAACTGTCAGAATCTTGAAACATTGAACTCTTTATGTAACTAAAATAATAAGGCGATTTCAAACTAATATGTAAGCCGAACTATTTAAATGATTAACATGGAGAGGGGACTCTGCTTCTGCACTACGAGCTTCTAAGCTTACTCAAAGTGTCCAAGTACCGTAGTGGTAAACTGCTTATCGAGCTATTCCCATTGCAAGTCAGCTAACCATAATATATTCACATTCAGCAGATTTTGCTTGCTCGACACTCTGAGGGCTGGTGGTTACTTGATTTAGTCTGACTATGATAAGAACCTAGTGTGATGAAGTCAGCAATAGCTATCCTTGTTTATTTGTGAAGGCTATGGATTTTATTTCTGCATATCATCTGGTTGGAACTTAGCTCATTTTATTGAAGACCTAATAAGTTACTGAGTCTCCTACCCAGGTCGAATCTTGTATCTACTAATTTGATGCCCAAAATTTTGGTGTTAATAGAGGGACCAAAGTATCAGAGGTATTGCTTTTTAGTAGGATATTCTACTTATAAGTATTGCCTAGTGCCTTAGAGGAACAAGAAAAGACCATATTTCCATGCTCGTATAGCACATTACCATATAGGAGAATATCTTTTGATCATTGCATTGATCATCTTTTCAAATTTATATGGTGACAATTTTCTTTTTTCTATGATATGATTGGAAAAGTTATTGAAATTTTCATGGATATATGTGACTTAACATTTGAAGATCGGCTTCATCACTTATCTTCTTGTTCAGCAATGCAGTGAATGGACTAACTTATTTTGAATTGGGAGAAATGTCATTTCATGGTTTGAGAAAGTATAGTTCTTGGATATAGGTTTTCCATGTAGGGCATTGAAGTTGATATGGCAAATTTTGAATGCATTAAAAGTTGCCGACTCCTACTTCAGTAAAATAGGAGTTTCCTTGGACATGCTCAATTTTATACACGATTTATATAAGATTTTTCTAGAATCAAAAGCTATTTCTCTAATTTATTAGCTAAATATGTGATATTTGAGATTTCTGATGAATGTTTTTTATGCATCTCAGGTCTTGAAGGAACAACTTCTTGCAGCTTTACGTACTCAATCAGGAGTCCAATATGATCCTAGCGAGGAAGTGTTGATGGCTGCCCGGCACATTGATGAGAGGCAGGCGTCCAATGTTGCAGGTCCATCTCATATACCCCGCTCTTCGGCCTATGCATCTTCATCAATACCCAACCGAATAACAAGTATCGAGGAGGATTTGGATCACATACGCCATTTTCAAGCCTATCAGGTGAAGCACAATCAAGCAATTGCTGAGATGCTACGAACTATGGCACTTCACCATGGAATGAACATGGATAATTTTCCTACTTGTCCTTCATATACGCCCCCAAGGGGAAAGGCAACGCTCGATGATGACGACGATGATGATGACGAGGAGGAGGAGGAGGAGGAGGAGGACGACGACGACGACGACGAGGAGTGAGCCATCCTACTCAGGAACGTTTCCTTTTTCAATACACATCCTTGCCTCAAGTAGAAAAAGTTTAGCGTGGAAGATCAATTTCGTTCTTATAAGTAGCTTGGAATGTCCAATGGTGTTGCATTTGGAGGCAAAACATTTTGTATCCGTCAAGAATGTTAAAATAGTTTGTCATGGCAAGAGAAAGGGAATACCACAACAGTCCTTCCCTTTTCATTTTTGTATAAACCTATTTTGGTCCAAGGGGGAGATAACAAGTGAGAAATTGTGTTTGGTAGGGATGGAGGTGCCAAAACTATGAATAGCACCTCCAAACATGTAAAGTAATGTAACAATTTTGAAGAGGAAATTTGCTCTTTTTTCTGTGTGTTTAGCAAACCTCTCCTCCATTTTTGCACTTGTTTTATTCATAAGATGAGTGTTGCAGAAATGCGAATGCTAAGATGAATATGCAATCACACAAGACTAGATAAGATAATAACCACATTTATCAAAAGGTGCAAGTAGCACACATTAAGGATGATATAAGAGAAAGTCGCTTGAGATGGTTTGGTCATGTCTTTTATCGACCTACGGATGTACTGGTTTGTAGGTGTGAAACTATGGTGGGGGAAGACGTTAAAAGGGGATGAGTAGACCTAAAATCACGAAAGAAAATTATCTCGGAAGACCTACCAATTATTGTTGTTGTTGTCATCATCTTTTTTTACTTGCACTTTTATTTTGGTAATGATGATGACATGAATTGAGATTAATATCGCTGACCCCAACTTGTTTGGGACCGATCAAGACATTATCAGTGTCCAGAGCTTTCTCTACCAAATGGGATTCCATTCTCAAGGCTTTAATCTTTTGTAATATAACACAATTGATGACTATAATAGTATCATGTTTGAAATTTGAATTTGTTGTCCTACAAAATAACAATATTCAATCAGCAGGTGTAAAGTACCACTTCGTTCACTTTTTGTTTTTATGACAAATAATTACGAATTTGTTGTAAGTATATATTTTGTAAGAAATCAACTATATGTATAGTTTGAACCTAAAGCATTAAAATATGTATGTGTTACATCCACCAAAGAATGTGGTCATACTCAAATATGACAATCATAATATTTTCAGCCTTTAAAAATGTACCATCAAAGGACATGAATGAATGAAGGTTATTGTAGGAGCTACTTATGGTCAGGGGTAAATGTGCTCACGAAAAGATTATGTGGACTAGCTGAGGATGACTAAGCTATGTTTTGTAATGCATCTACAGTCAAACCTCTCTATAACAACCGTGTTTGTTCCGATATTTTTTGAATGTTATCGTGAAGTGCTGTTACATAAGACATATATTATAATATAACATAAAAAATCAATTCCGAGAAAAACTTAGCTTTTATAATGAATGACTGCTATATAAGGATGCTGTTATATAAATGTACTTGGTAATTAATAAAAAAATTTGATTATCAAAAA